TCTTCTTTCTATCTTACAATGTTGAAATGGTACAAAAGTCACAGAACCCGATCTATTTCCATTTAACAGTTAGCTCTACTGAAATAAATGACATTATTTAAGAACAGAATGAGAATGTATCCTCACTTTCATGACAATGCACAGCATAGAATGATTAAAAGACATCCTTTAAAAGTATGGAATTTACTACACAGACAGAACTAGGACTCTGAGTTTCTACATACAGGTTGTCCTTGTTTAATGACCACAAGTAGGACTGGCAACTCAGTTATTAAGCGAAGTGGTCATTGAGTGAAATTGTGACTGTGCTTATGATCTTATTTCAGTTTTCCTTTCCTTTATAGATCTGCAAAGATTGTAATGCAAGGACTGGTTGCAAAATTACTTTTCAATCATTGTCATCACTGCAAACAACTGTCATCTGAGGCAGTCACTAAATGAGGACTAGCTGCACAAACAACCTAAATATAAATGATAGAAATGGAAAAACTGAAGATGAAATAACTGAAGTAAATTAAATGGAATTTACTTCATTTTCTAATTTGGAGATTATTATTGTCTGTATTACAGATGAATAAGTACATTATTTTAAAATATTTTTTCAATATTGTACTTCTATTCATCATGTAACAATATTCCCCCCATGACTAGTTCACAATCAGTAAAATCAAATAAAAATAAATCTTTATTCTGGCACACAGAATTAGAAGGCTTTAAAGCTATAAATAGTAAAATTTATCACAGAAGGCACATCTCTTTCTAAAGATTTCAGAAAAATCTAGATTTTATTAAGGATTTATAAGCAGCCTGTTTAATGTTTATTCCTTTTGATTAGCTTTAGAGTTTCAAGAATATTGGTATATTGGTTTGTTTTTTAGATTTTCTTGTAAGATTTAATTCAGAAGAATAGGAATATGAATGCAGCAGATGCCTGCAATTCATTACAGGTAGCCTTCGATTTACAATTCATTTAGTGACCATTCTAATGCCACTGAAAAAAGTGGCTTATGACCATTTTTCACACTGATGACTATTTCAGTGTCCTCTTGGTCACATGATCAAAATTCAGATAGATGACAAATGGTTCATATTTATGACGGTTGCAGTGTCCTGGATTCACTTTTGCGACTTTCTTATAAGCAAAGTCAATGGAGAAGCCAAATTCACTTAACCGTGTTACTAATTTAACATGTGCAGTGATTCACTTAACAAGTGAATCAAACAAGGGAAAGAAAGGTTGTAAAATAGGACAAAATTCATTTAACAAATGTTTTTCTTAGCAAGAGAAATTTTGGACTCAATTGTAGTCATAAATCAAGGATTATCTGTACAACTCATGAATGCAAATAATGTTGTTCTGCAGGATCATATAGTTGTTATAAAGAGAAATTCATTCCAGATTTGCTATCAGATCTGGTAAACAAATACAGATGTTTGCATGAGTCACAAAAAAAGTGTTGCATTGACACTCCAAAGTGCCTTTCCAAATGGCCTCGTAGATGCTATCAATATTTCACCAAGGTTGAAAATTAATGGCAAACTGCTTAACATAAATGGCTGACCCATTTCCCAAAAAATAGATTTTACCAGGATTTCTGATAATTTGAAGCTTTGTTTTTTTATATACAAGCCAAAGTAGTCCTTGTGACATTCTATGGATGCAAAAGTTGGAAATTAAAGAAGCAGGATAGGAAATGTAGTTGCTTTTGAACTTTGGTGTTGGAGAAGACTACTGGGAATTTTAAAAAGGTTAAGATAGCAATAGCACTTAGACTTATATATTGCTTCAGGGCGCTTTACAGTTCTCTCTAAGCAATTTACTGAGTCAGCATATTGTCCCCAACAATCTGGGTCCTCATTTTATCAACCTATGAAGGATGGAAGACTGAGTCAACCTTGAGCTGATGAGATTTGAACTGCTGAACTGCAGCTAGCAGTCAGCTGAAGTAGCCTGCAGGGCTGCACTCTAACAACTGTGCCACCTTGGCTATTAAGATAAAGGCTTCCCCTGTTCTGTTGTGAATGACTATAGGAGTGGTGCTCACTTCCACTTCTTAAGCTTTTAAACTGCTGGGGGGCAGGAGTTGGGGCAGGAACAGGTCATCACATCACACAACACTCAAGTCTTGAACCCAGACCGTTAGCTTTCCAGCTGTCAAGCTCAACTCTTTAACCATTCAGCCATCATGCCCCCCCCCAAGTACTATGGACGGCCAAAAAATAAACAAACACCAAACTGATGGATCATCAAACAAATCAATCCAGACTTTTCACTCAAGGCACAAATGACCAGGATAAAATGTTTCTATTTGGGACACATTTTTTTAAAAAAAGACTAGCGTCCTAGAGAGGTCTCTAATGCTGGGGAAGGTGGAATCTAAAGGGGAAAAAAGGATGACCAACAGCAATCTGGATGGGCTCAGTTACAGTGACAAATGCACTGTTGGAAGATGTGAAAGAATAGATCATCATGGATAAAATCTATGTGGACCCCAAGAACTGAAAAAAGCTTGATGGCACATAATAAATTAAAAATAAAATTCAATGAATATATTGGCTTTTATGAAACAGCAGGATAATCCCACAATAGTGAAATGGGCATTGGGAGTCATTCCACCTTCATCCGGAAGATTCTGGGGTGTTAGGAACTTAATAAAAATACTATCAAGAGGGTTACTATCTTTAAAGTAACTGATTTTACTTCAATGCTGATTCAGTTGTAACGCATTGAGATGCTTCCGGTAGCCACTATATTACACAGAGGCTCGTGCCAGCCGAGTTCGGGTTCAGCTCCTGAACGCCGTTGGCTTTTCTCTGAGATCTGGTGTCGCAAGAACGTTTTTATAATCAGCGTAACTTGTACGGATTTTCTTCGGGCATTTTGCATGAGAATATTAGGGAAATTTAGAGAGGAGGTGCGAGCTCAGCGGCTGTTTTATTCTCTGAGAAAAGAAACAAAATCTTCAGACTGGATCAGGAAGATTGACGTGTAAAGGACCAACCCTCTTTGGAGCATCATGGGTCTCTTTCCCCCTTCTATACTCTTCACCCGTGGTCGGTAAGGCTCTTTTTGCAGGAAGCCCTGATTGTGTCTGATTTTTGTTTGTTTTTCCCCTCCTCCGGTACAAGCTGAATATGAGACTGACCGGGAGCTGCTATGGGACGACCGATGGAAAGCGAAAGAAGCAACGATAACGAGAAGGCAAGTGGAGTCGAGGCGAGGAAATACCGACGGGGTTGCCTGGGAGCTTCCGTAGGTTTGCATGGTTAGGACAGGCTTTCGGTTTGCGTTTTTTTGTTTTTGTTTTTGTTTTTGTTTTTTTGTTTGGCGAACGATAAAAACAAGGCTTGAAAAGGAAAGGGGCGTAATGGAGGAGGAAAATGGCAGAACTGGTTTAATGAGTGGCTGTGGGACGGAACCGTTTCCTCTGGGCAGGTCATCCACATGTGTTGAACTTCAGGTCATACAATTCCCTACCTGGGAACTGCCTCCCTCTCCAACACATCTGGACACACCACAGTGGAGATTACAGATTAACAGAGTTAATCATCCTGGTTGTTGTTTTCTGCACTTTTTCTAGCGCCTCAACATTTTATAGTGTGATGACCAAAACTGGATGTAGTATTCTAGGTGTGGTCTTATTAAGGCTTTATAGAGTGGTATTAGTACCTCACTTGATCTTAATTGTATCCCTCTGTTGATGCAATTTAGGATTGCATTGGCTTTTTTAGCTGCTGCCACACACTGCTGGCTCATATTTAGCAGGTTGTCCACTAAAACTCCAAGATCCCTCTCACAGTTACTGCTATTAAGCCTGGTTTCACCCAGTCTATATGTGTACTTTTGGTTTTTCTTGCTTAAGTGTAGGACTTTACTTTTCTCTACATTGAATTTCATTTTGTTAGATAGGGCCCAGTGATCCATCTGGATCTTGAGCCTATCTTCCAGGGTGTTAGCTATTCCTGCCAGCTTAGTATCATCTGCAAATTTGCTAACTTCTCCTACTGCGCCCATATAATCTGCTAAGTATTTTCAGAAAAGCCTTGTGGCTCATTTCTTTTGAAATTAAATACACTGACCCACTTTGCAGCAGCATATTAAAGAGAAGAAGAAATGCTTTTCAGGTTCTCAAGTACATAACATACATGTTTATGTTGGTTAACACTAATGCATCTGGGCTGCAGAAATCCCTACAGCCAATGAAGGAGAGGGGAAAGCTCTGAAAACTCTTTAATTTGAAAAGTCTATTTAGTGGTCGTCTGGATTTTGTAGCCTTGATGCTGGTGCTTTTGTGCGTGGTTATTCTTCCTGGTTATAAATGGGTATGGACATCTGAGATGTTTTGCAGGTAAGATCAGCTATGGTTTGAAGCAATTTCCAGAAGACTTGAAATAATACATTAGAAAATAGATCATGGAGAAAATCCATGTGACATATAGTTCTGTTAAGATTTGTTATGCAGATATTTTGATTAAAATATATAGTGAAATATGGGATACTGTCAACAATAAGTAAGCTTTGCTTTCCCTGTACTGACTGGGAAATTCTGGAAGCTGAAGTCTATCCATCTTAAAATTGTTAAAGTTGAGAACATTGTTCTGCAGAAGGACTGCCAGATCTGAATTGCAGAAATCAAGAGGATCCTTAGGAAGCAGCTGAAAGATAGAAAGGCTTTTTTGCCCTCTAATGGTCATCCAGTATATATAAAATTTGGAAAAAATATATTTTTGCTTCTTGATGGAGAAACATTTCATCCTGTTTTAGGACGCAGTCAAATAACACATTTTATAGAAGTATTATTCTAACTGACTTTATCTTTCTTCTCCTAGCAAAGTGTTTTCTATTTTTTTTTGCTCCACACACAACTGCATATATTAGGAACATTCACATTTCTAGTAATTAATTTTATGCTCCATATACTTGAACTGGATCTATCATTTGGATTGGTTGATTTAGATTTGGGTGTGTTTTATCAAGATTATCTTGATTGTTGCATAGCTAGCATATTTAGACCTCTGTGATGTTTCTGACTGAGCACTTGAATTATTTTCTGTGGGATGAAGACACAATAGTGCTGTGGAAAGAATGTGACTAAATGCTGCTTGCCTTGATAGTCAACAATGATCTTCTCTACATGCCTTCAATATCTTTTGGAAGAATGGCTTCTTAACAATCTTCTTTATATAGTTGCTTGCTCAGTGCTGCTGCTTTTTACTATATTATTTGCCGTTCCACTTGCCATCGTATTATTTTTCTATATTTCCGCTTTATTCCTCCTCTTGTATGAAAGGACTTGCAAACTGAATGGAAATTATTCCAGTAATATATGGGATCCGGTGAGGCTAATAATAGCAATCATATTGGATGGATATGGAAGATTATGGCATGGTAAGCAAATGTGTAATAGTGAGAAACTTAGATTCTATTACAGAATTATCTATATTTGTTGGATCATTCAGCATAACTGTACTTACTGAGATAATGGATGTTTAACTTACAGTATTTTGTATCAAAGTCTTCCATAAATTATTCACTTAATAAATGTGTATGGCTGCCTATATCACTGAACATTATTCTGGGTGGTGAACAGCCAAAACAATATTTGTTTTTAAACTATTATTAGCTAGCTATTATTAGCTAGTTCTCCAATTGTCAATATGTATTATACAAAAGCACTAAAATTGGAAACATTGACCAACATCCAGAGTGAACTCACAAATAATGTTAGTATTTAATACATTTTACTTATTTCTTAAATATCTGTGTCACTTTACTTTATGTGTCTTGTTTCTTTGGATTTTGTTGTTAGATGTTTGAAGGATCAGTATTAGTCCAGCCCTGCAGTATAGGCTTGGGCAATTACTTCAAATAATGTCAAATTTCTGTTCCTGATGGTTGCAAATCTAATGGTGAATAATGGTGCATGTTAAGTGTGCTGCCAGGTGAAGATGGACCTGTGGTAGATGGTCTATTGGTCATCTACCACAGCTACCATAATATGCCTACCATTATAATTAGTTCTGGCTTTTTGCTACTTGAGAAATGCCATTTTGAAGCAACTAGTGTTGCTGAATCATTTTATTGCACTGAGAGGAAAAAGAGGGTCACTGGAGGGGACTCCTGCCTTGTTTTGCCTTCCAACTTCTACTAACCCAATATGATTGGATATTATGATTCAGTAAAGGAGCCCAAAGACAGTATAGCCTTCATTATATCGTAAGATGCTTGGAAGGAGAGACTTGTCACAAAAATGCCAGCAGTGTAATTTTATTTCACATTTTTGTAGTAGAAAACATTTGCAATACGGTACAAAACTGAAAGATTGGGAAGAGGCTTTTGTTACTTAGTCAACCAACCAACACCAAAAGGTTGATTATTTTCAGTGCTCTGCTTTTGGCCAAAGGGTCATTACCTGTTGGTTCAGTTCTCTGTAAGGACTACAGATTTATAAATACATCTGCTCTACTAGTATCTTGGGTTGTGACTACAAATACAAATCGCAGCATCCTTGCTAGTACCAACTGACAAGGATGCTCCAATTGTTGAGTTGAAACACTTGAGTGACAGGCTTGTTATCTTCAGATGCTCAAGTTTATGCACCATAGCATAGCTTTTTCCCTACTGCCAAGTGTTCCTCATTTCAGCACAGGAATCCATCATTGAAAGTATCTCATAAGAATTCTGCTGTGGGTGCTCTGAATAAAGAAGTGAGGCAGTAGTATTTGCTGGTTCTTCCCTCCCTGTAAAATCTGTAGCAAACATGTTCTTGGAAGGTGGGAGCAGGGTAGATACAAATTCTGGGATAGATCTTGGGATGCAAAAAGACCAGTTAATTGAAGAAAATGCCTTATCTCTTGCTCAGTCACTGGAATGTTTCAGTGATTGGATTTTTGGAAAACCGTTTCTTAAATGGTTAACACTTCCCCAAGCCATCATACTAGACATGTGCAATACAGTTTTCTTAGCAACGTTACATAAGTTGTATTATTGATGTTCTAAGAAATGCCTAATTTTTCTGGAGCAGACTACAGCTCTGGAATTTCCTGTTAGATTCCACTTAAGTACTAATTAGGTCTAATCAGCCAAGGTCAGTTAGATGCCATTGCTTGCTATGACTCCATAAATGAAAGAAGTTTTTAATTCCACAGAAAATATACTCTTAATTCAAACTATATTTGACCATAGATGGCAGCTTTCAGTACATGGGAATTTCAGGCAGTTGTTTGATTGTGACTATGGTACTTACTAGTTAATCATATCTAAAATTTGATAGTCTGCAATAGAAAGATTCATATAGTAAATGTGCATGGTATTTTAATTAGTGCATTACTGATTTATATAGCACAATATGGAATAACCGTTGATTTATATTTTGCATTTCAAACAGGGTATGAGCTACATGGCATCGAAAACATACCAGATGGGCCAGGGCTAATTATTTATTACCATGGAGCGGTTCCCTTGGACTACTTGTGTTTTCTGGCTAAAATTTTTATTCTGAAGCGCAGGTGTTGTTACTCAATAGCAGATGATTGTGTTTTCATATTTCCAGGTGATGTTTATAAATTATATTAATATGTATGATGGTAAAACATTTCATCCAGTTTGTTTTTCCAAACTTTAGGAAGCTTGAAACATGGATTTTTATATGATCAGTTTCCTGTGTTGGTAGCCAGCAGCTGTCAAAAGTTCTCAAAACTTACTTTAGAGAACACTTTCTATTTGCTAGAAATTGTTAGTTAGCATTAGTGATTTAGAAGCGTGTTAAACAAAAGAGTAGGAAAAAGTATTTACTTCTATTGAATCATATTCTTATCTATATATGAAACTAACAGTTTTACCTAGGCCTCTGACATAATCTAGTCAGTTCTTAGAATCGGTTGCTTGTGAAAAGAAAATGAAATAATAGAGAATATGACATTAGTAGAAGTGTTACACAAACCTAACCCCAAACTAACACACTGCAGTTCTGGATGTTTTGCAGAACCACTCAGTTGATGAACTGAGTTATTAGGACACAGAAAAAACCCTGTGGAAAAAACCCTTAGAGTGACCTGAACTGATTTTAGGGGTAGTGTGCATTGCTCCTTCTTTACCTGCTTTCATTCAGGAGGTCCCAGCATAGATGATGATGATGATGATGATGATGATGATGATGATGATGATGATGATGATGATGATGATGAATTAAACTTGCACATCATCTGACACGTCCTTCTGCTGCTAATCCATGCCAGTCTGGCTGTAATCTGTGTTCTATCAGAAAATACCCAAACAGTTTCATTCCTTTAATTTGTTCCACAAACAAGAAACAAAATTATTTATAAATTAGGTAGTGTAGGCATAATGCACCTCATCTTGCATTGGCATAGTGCTGAATTGCTATTTTATACTATATTAAATCAATTGGGGTCATTTAAAAACTACACATTTCCATGCAAATTTCAAATTCTCCATGCAGGTACACAGTTAGGCAACACAGTTAACAAAGTAGGATAAAGTTATGCTGTGGCATTGCCCATTTCTTAATCTGTTTTTCAAATATATAGTATGGACACAATTTTTGTATTACAGATTAATTTTCATAGTCTTAATAAATTCTTTCACAGTATAAATTTTGAAAATACTTTTATTTGGCCAAATATATGAAATATTTCCATAATGACTTACATGTATTAAAAATAATTTCAATGTATCAGTTCAAAATAGGTTCTGCAATTTTTAACATAGAAAATTAATTGAAAATATGTTATTGGTTGAAAGTATATTTTCATATACCGTATTTTCCTGTGTATAAGACGACTGGGCGTATAAGATGACCCCCGACTTTTCCTTTTAAAATATAGGGTTTATGCTATACTCACCGTATAAGACTACCCCTCTTCCAACGCACATCAAATAAAAATTAAAAAACATCAACTGGCTCACCCACAATGTAAAAGCAGCAGTGCTAGACCCAAAATGGCCCCTGCAACAAGCAGGAACCTCACACAGCCACAAAAAGCCCCCAAAAAACAACTTTCACACTTTACACACACAAAATTCCACATACAGCTTTGTGAGATTTTGTGTGTTTGTGTAGTTAGAGTGAAACACTACAGAAACACACTAAATCTCAGAAAGCTGCACAAATATTATTTTATTTTATTTTATTTTTATATGAAAACTAAAATTAAAACTTCCTAAACTTTAAATGGCTAGGTCTAAAAAAGAACAACTAAAAAAAACCCCAATTAACTATTTTTTTTAAAGCTCCAAAAGGGGAAAAAAACTTATCCAATAGAACAGGGGTCTCCAACCTTGGCAACTTTAAGACTTGTAGACTTCAACTCCCAGAATTCCTCAGCCAGCTTTGTTTTGCTGGCTGAGGAATTCTGGGAGTTGAAGTCCACAACTCCCTGCCTGCTTGATTGCAGGCAGGGAGTGGCTTGCTGATGGAATGGATTCAGGCAAGCGAAGCAAGACAAGCGTTGCGACTAGCAGCTAAGGTAAGCAAGCTGGAGGGGAAAATCTTTTTTCCTTTTACATGGTTCTGGCGATCCCAGCTGCGTTGCCTGATTAGCAGGCAATGCAGCTGGGATCGTCAGAGCTTGGATCGCCAGAGCCATTTAAGGCTCGTCAGAGCCTTTCGGGCTGGTCTGCCTGGTTACAGCAGAACAACACCCAGTGTATAAGACAACCCCCAACTTTTGAGAAGATTTTCATGTGTTAAAAAGTCGTCTTATATGCCGGAAAATACGGTAACTGGTATTTCAGCCTTCAGGTGAAATTAAAAATTAAAATAAATGAAGACTGAAAATGTCTTTCTCCTTACATAGAATCCCAATCAGACCCACACATTTTACAGTTCTGATTCCCTCTATTACCTTAAGGTAAAGCATTAATGCAACTTCATAGATTTTTACACATAGCATATTATTTTGTAATCTTGCACTTTCTTTCAGGTGTTCAAGTATTAACTGGTGTGACAGGTATTATTCAAAATAAAAAGGAAGAGTGTTTAAATGTTCTCAAGAAAGGCAAGCTACTTGGAATTTCTCCAGGAGGAATGAGAGAAGCACTCTTTAGTGATAAATCATACAAGCTCATATGGCATAAGCGTAAAGGTTTCGCTCAGTTAGCTGTAGATATGAAAGTGGTAAGTATGGTGTTCATATCATTATTAAATCTTTGCTGATTACATTTTATCAGACAGAACATGATGCTAAACAACTGGAAAACTTAGTTTTTTAGAGAAGTATTGTGATAGGTTTTCTTGAAGATAACAACTCACAAAGTATATTTAATGTAAATATACTTTGCTGTTTGAGAGTTAAATAAGTAAAGTAGTGGTAGCCTAGTTCATATTTCCCAATTTTGGAACAAAGGGGAATAATTTTTGACTTAATTCTTCATGGCCATGACAGCAGACCTCTTTTCCTTCAACTAGGTCCATACTGTACTTCCCCTATTGCTTATATCATATCTTCTGTGACTTCTGCTATGAAAAAAAATACTGTTCTTCCATTATCTTAATGATAAGTATTTCAATATCTCAAATATTTTCTTAATATTCAATTATTTAACAAACTACAATTTTTTATTTTTAACTCTCTGATCTGAATGATTAGACATTCATTCAGTTAAAAAAAATGGGAAGTCCTGATCTATTCCAAAGATTTATTATTAAATAATTGACATTTTGTGTATACATCATGATGATTGAACCAGGTATCCAGTATGGAAGCAAAGTTCAAAAATATCAAGTAAGGGCCATATTAGAATGTTTAATGAAACTAATTATGCAAATAGAAATAGTTTTTAAAAAACAGTGGTGTCTTGGTACTCAACTGCTTTGAAACTCATCTAATTTGGTACTCAATACATTTTGATTTGAAAATTTTGTCCTGGTACTCATTGTTTGTTTGGTACTTGGCACACAAGTTAGAACTTGTCAGTGTAGGCTGCCTTGTGACTCATTGTATTATTCCTTATGGGAAAAAATTGTTTGGTACTCATCGTTTCTGGTACTCATCACATCTCCTGGAAACAACAATGACTATCAAGGTACTACTGTACAGAACTTGGATAGAAAATTAAGTCTCACACAATTGGATCCTTTTCACTTAGATTCCTAGCATTTCAAATCTTTTCTGTTCCCTGGTTTTTGGTTTTTGGTTTCATTCTATCCCTTCAGACCAGAGGTGGGTTTCAGCAGGTTCTGAGCAGTTCTGGAGAACCGGTAGCAGAAATTTTGAACAGTTCGGAGAACCGGTAAATATACCTCTGACTGGCCCTGCCCCCATCTATTCTCTGCCTCCTGAGTCCCAGCTGAATGAGAGGAAATGGGGATTTTGCAGTAACCTTCTCCTGCCATGCCCACCATGTCATGCCCACCAAGCTATACCACGCCCACCAAGCCACACCCACAGAACCGGTAGTAAAAAATTTTGAATCCCACTACTATTTCAGACCCAGTATTTTGCATTTTTTAATACTCAAGAGTAGGGGGGGTATTCTAATCTTATTCAACAATTTACAGTTCACTTTATTTTTATACAAAAATAAGTATACCAAGTTTACCTATACACTGCAACACGACTATCTTGCTTTTAGAACAGATAATCTATCATGCATTAAAGTGGGACTTTGTTTCCATTTGTGATACTCTGGCCAAAATGACCGGCTGACTTTACCATTAGTAGAGAATGCTGCATTTGTCATAAGCATTACTAAAACTGATAATCTAATTTTTATCATCACCTTATTTAAAAGCATTATGTAAAATTCTCAATTGACCAAGGCAGGATGGGTAGGGAAGTTCAGTATCTATGGGCCTATCTGGGACTGACTATAGCACATAGAAAACAGTGACTTGAATGGGAATAAATTAAATCTTCTGTGTCCTCTTTGCATAGTCTGAACCTCAGATCCTGTCTAGTGTGGTTGATCTATGCTTTTATGAATGTATTGCTTAGTGACTATTGTGCTGCTGTGATCAGTGCTTCAAGTAGGATCGCCCAGTGTCAGCACCTCAGCTATCAATGGTGCATCCCATGCAGGGTCTTGCCTTGCCATGGCACTTCCTCTGCTTGATTTTTCTTGCATATCTGTTTCTGCTTCAGGCACTTTTTCAGGATCTAATCTTTTGGTGTCATTTTACCGATGTACACTTGAATATTCTGAGTTTCATCCACAACAATCACTTTGACACCAGATTCCTCCTCCTCTCTCTCAGACCGCTCAACAAACCCTGGCACTGCAGCCGAATAAAGCCTTGAGCAGGAAACAGGTTTATTTATTCTCCAGGTTTGCCGCAGACAAAGGTTGAGGTCAATATGCAATAACACAAAGTTGGCTTTGGGATCTACTGCAACCTAACGCCGTTTAAATAGCCGCGCCACTCAGTCTTCCAATCGGCTACGCTTCCGGGTTTCCAGCCCCGCAATTGCGCCAGCTGCCACGTCACTCGGATGCGCAAATAGGCGGCAGCAAACAACCAAACGGCCCCTATCCCGTCCGCAGCATGACCGTCCGCCTACCAAGCCTCTATCACCCCCATCACCGTGAATATGCCCTTCCCCCCATTGCAGCCCACGATCCTTCCATAGCGTTTCCGGTTTTGCATGGTGAGATCTTTGCTTTGCTCTTATCCCCAGTGTGTCAAGCGTGGGATGTCTCAACAGGCGGCTCCCCCTACCAGGAATCCACCTGCAAGATATAAAGGAAAGGGTTAGTACAGGTTCGTTAATTGTTCGTCTTTCTGCCACCTCCAGGTTTATGAGGATATTTTCTGTGGTACAATTTCCGCAGTTTATTCGCCTTAAGGTTTTCAACAGGAACCCAGGATGCCGCCTCCAACGGGTAGCCCTTCCATTGTACTAAATACTTAAGCCTTCCTCTACTTATTTTGGAGTCCAGTATGTCAACAATTTCATATTGGTCCCCACTCAGCGGCCCTGGACGTTCTAAAGGGTCCCGTACACTATCTACAGGTTTTAGCAGACTGCTGTGAAATACCGGGTGAACTTTACCCAGTAAAGATGGTAACTTTAATTCAACTGTTACCGGGTTTATGACTTTCGCAATAGTGAACAGTCCAAGGTATTTGGGACCTAGTTTTCTACTGGGTACTTTCAGCTTGATGTATTTAGTAGACACATATACCTGGTCCCCCACCCGGAATGGCTTATGATCCATTCTTTTCCTATCAGCATATAGCTTATACTCCTTTGACGCTTTCTGTAATGCTTCCTCAAGCGTGGGATGTTTCGACACTCTCTTTCTCATCCAAACATTGTGAGAAACTTCCAGATCTTTATATTGGCAGCCCTCATATCCTTGCTTTGGTCAGTTCACTATACTGACTGGCAAGTCATACACATTGATGGTGTATATCTTGTTCTTCCCATTGAATTGGCCCTTCAGGACCTGTGTTATCCTTTAATGGTACTTAAATGTTGTTGTCTTCTTTGCCTGCCATGTGATTCCCGTGTAATTGTGGGATACCAGGTACTTGTAACTGGTCTGAATGTTTGCTATGTCATCTGCTGGTATTTCCACCCATCAGTTTTTAAACTACCTTCTCTTTTCTACCATGCCGTAGCTTTCTTGCAAATGAACAACACTTGGTGTCAGAAGTGAATTCTTCTGCAGCAGTAATGGATGCTAGAGTCAAAGGTTTGATTAAAACAAAGAACAAACATTTTTTAAAAACTTTCTGTTTGTTTATTAAAAGGTTTATTAAACCTGTTTTACAGTGTTCACACTGTTTTACAGCAATTATTGTTGCACTGTAAATTAGAATCAGCAAAAGACTGGAAGATCTGTTGCAACATTACCAAGCAATCTTTACAGAATAGTGGTTTTTTTTTTTACCGTTAGCTTCTTCTTCTTCCTCCTCTTCTTTTTTTTTTAAAGATGCTTGAAAGTCATTGCCAAACTTGAGGCTTCCTAGGAATGTGGAAATCAAAGGCAATTCTTTCAGCAAGGATTTCTTAACAGCAAGGATTACATGACAGCAATTAGTTACCATGAAAAAAACTTAGATATATAGTTAAATAGCTGAAGATGCTGCCATATGTTCTAAAGTTGTCCTGGAACGTGACATGTATATATATTTGAGCTACATGAACATTTATTTATTTATTTATTCAATTTATATGCCGCCCCTCTCCGAAGACCCAGGGTGGCTCACAATACACTCAAAAAATCACTATAAAAACACTTAAAAATTAAAAACATTAAAAACATTAAAACCCATTCACACCATTCATGGCCGGATCTCGTCAGATCGCAAAGCAAGATCAACGGCCCCAGGCCTGCTGGAAAAGCCAGGTCTTCATTGCTTTTCAGAAGGCCAATAGGGTGGGGATGGTCCGGACCTCAGGAGGTAACTGGTTCCAGAGAGCTGGGGCAGCAATAGACAAGGCCCTCCCCACGGGCCCGCCAGCCAGCATTGTTTAGCTGACGGGACCCGGAGGAGACCAACTCTGTGGGATCTTACCGGTCGCTGGGAGCTATGCGGTAGAAGGAAGTCTCGAAGATAACCTGGCCCTGAGCCATGTAGGGCCATGTAGGGCTTTAAAGGTAATAACCACCTTGAATTGTGACCGGAGACCAATAGGGAGCCAGTGCAGCTCGCAGCACATTCTGCGTCACTGAACTAAAAAAAGAAAAAAGAAAATAGCACTGTTCTAGGAAGTGGCTGGAGCAGATATCTTTGAATTGTATAATACATTTATATTCGGGGATTAAGAAAGCAATGCCTTTTAAATCCTATTGCAAAATTTGAGGCTTGTTATGGGCCATGAAAAAAGTAAGGTAATAAAAGTTTTATCTTCAGATTACGTCTACAAATTAAACCAAAATAATTGAATAGTTAGTAAGAGTTCTTAAACTAAGGAATAAATATGGTATTTTGATAGTGCTACTATTGATTGCATTATTGAGTAAAGATAAAATTATTTTGGCCATAAGAAACAAGAGAGTGTTTCTCTCTTAAAGAAACCAGATTGTCCCTTGATAATGCAACTGATACACATTAAGTAGTAGATATTCACATATCTACTGAATGTTTTCTGAATGTGCAACAGGAAACTTTTATGAAAGTATTTGCTGCAAGTGTTCAAATTCCCTGTGTGCCATTGGCCCTAAAAAAGTTCCCTGTTTTTTCTGGGTGACAACATTATTGTTTCCATTTTAGAAGGTGTGTTTATTTTAGTACTGACTGTTCTATATTTATCACAAATTCTCTTTATAATTTGTGCTTGAAAAAAAGCCATTCTGGTTCATGAGATTCATATTATATAGAAGGAACTGTGAATAACCAAATAAATTATGGATATTGAGCAAAACAAATGTAAAATATAATCCAGAACTCCCTGCTACATGATTGAGTAATTGATTGATATTTAATGTGGGTGGATATTTAATGTGACATGCAATCCAAACTAGTACATTATATTCAACTCTTAGTTTAAGACCGTAGCAAAATGTCCATTTTCTCCCCAAAAGAAAAGGGAAAATAGAAAAAGGGTTCTTCATATGCTTGGAAGCAGCCAGACGTCATTGTTTGTATATATTTATGTTTTCCTTTCTTTTCCTTTATACTTTTCTATCCCTATTCTCTTTTTACTCTTTATTTTTTTCTTGATCATTAGTTTATGCTGTTGTTCTAATGTGTATGCTTTGCAAAATATAATAAAATTATTTGACCAGACATCACTACATTATGATTGGTGTTGCTAGTCTTATATTTGTTTTAAGCATATAGAAATTGAAGATTATGAGGCTGAAAGGCAGAGTCTTAAATATTAAGAAAAACTATCGTTGATCAATGATAATAATTAGGCATACCTTAAGTGCAGATTGAGTTAGAAAAGATAAGAATGTTAGGGCTGTGCATCAGAACTAAGCAAGATCAGTAAGAAATTATAATACCTGCTCTGTGAAAAGACCTCAGCGTATCAAAATAAGGGGTGCCCAAGTGATTAATGTTTATCCCAACTTTTGTGCAAAGAGTAGCTTAAAATGGTGAGGAACCTCGCTCCTCTCATACATATTCAAAACAGCCACATGTGCCTCTTTGACAAAGTCTTCACCTTCTGAAATTTTTATAATGATGTTTTTTATAATTTTAAAACTTTTAATTACTCTGATTTTAATGTTTCATTATATTGATGATCTCGTGTACTGCCCAGAGCCCCTCTCCAAGGGAAATGGAAAATTAATAAATATGAAGTATAGGTAGTCCTTGACTTAGGACCACAATTGAGTCCAAAATGTCTGTTGTTAAACGAGACAGTTGTTAAGTGAGCTTTGCTCCAATTTACAACTTTCTTTGCCACAGTTGTTAAATGAATCACTGCAGTTCTTAAGTTAGTAACATTGTTGTTAAGTGAATCTAGCTCCCTCATTGACTTTGCTTTCAGAAAGTCACAACTGGTGATCACATGACCCTGGGACACTGCAAACGTCATAAATATGAGTCAGTTGCCAAATGTCTTATTTTTGATCATGTGACCAGGAGATTGTTGCAATGGTTGTAAGTGTGAAAACTGTCCCAAGTCACTTTTTTCACTTTGAACAGTCACAAAATGAATTGTTGTAAATTGAAGACTACCTGTATAAATAAATAAATAAATAAAATAGGGGCTGATGGTCTCTTAATACTTTAATATAATTAAATATTTTTTTAAAAAAAATATCTTTTTTTTTCCTTTAGCCTATTATACCCATGTGTACACAAAATATTCGAGAAGGATATTGGATCTTTGGGCAATCAAGTAAGGCATACTTATATTGCATATTTTAATTTGAAAATTATTTGTTGTTCAGTCTATAGCTCTATGTTTTCCATAGCATTTAGATAGAGTGTATAAGACACAAAGAGGTCCCTAGCCCCATTCTCTTTGGGAAGCAGAGTTTAACTGAGCTCACGGCTGAGTCTACCAGGTTAATAGACTGATAAATTATTTTTATTCTATTGTACTTTTAATTGCCTTGATGAAGAAACACTTTTCTTGGGAAACTAAAACAATGTATTGCATGGTACACAGTCATCCCTGTGCTTTATAGGTGAAGCAAGAGGTTTTCTTGAAGTACAATACAAATGCAGAGTTTGTTCTTTAGCTTCACACTATTCCAAACACTTAGGAACTTTCAGATTGTCGGAAGGTCTGCAAAAAATAGCTGCTTTGTTTACCCTTTTCTCTATTTGGCAAATGAAGAGGGAAGGAGAAAATATGCACAACAATTACAGCTTTTAATCACAGGAGTGATATGCATCAAGGCCTCTCCAGAATGCTTTGCAAACAGATGTTGTAACCCTATTACAATTTGTTACACCCTGTTCTCTGCTCATTGCTGATAACTGAAGAGCAATATTTGAAATAAAAATGTAGCACAGTGAAGTATATCAAGCGCAGGAAATCAGGAGCCAAGTTGGTTCAAATGAATACAGGTTTATTGCAGGTTAACATTCTAAGAATCTGAACTACTAATGGTCGAAGTGAATCGGTGGTAGATAAGAGTGAACAGAATTCAAGGTGGGCTGGACTTAGATCTCTTGTGGGTGCAAAGGGACTTGAGACTGATGATGCACCTGTGATTGATATATTGAATTTTTTCCAGTCCTTTTAATTAATTCTTTACATGCCAGATTTCTTATTCATTCAACCATACCCTGAACTCCCCATCATTTTATGCTATAAATTATTAATCTGCTTTCTGTCTTGTTAGAATTTAGTTGTAACATTTCCATACAGAATTTTTGTGGCAGTCTGAAATCAGAACCAAATTTATCAGTTCTCACAGTATTAACTAAGCCAGGAGCTAAATACATTTATTACTACTGGTAGCTTCAGCATCCTGCTATGCAATGTCTTTTCATTTGAATCTTTGCACTGTTGGTAAGCTTCTGATTAGCTTGTTACCCCTTGCAGAAATCTTTCCTTACTTGGTTGTAAACTTGATCAGATTATTGGCAAGCTCCTTCAGTATCTAGAATGCAATTAATTTGAAGACTTAAATTCATTTCCTGACCATGTTTCTTTGAGTTTCAAACCACAACCCACTTTCTTTATTCTGGTTTTTTTAAATGGCATTGTAAAGCATGTTCTTTTGTTGGAAATGAAGAAAACAAGAGATATTTAATAGCAGTCTTCTCTGTTAGTATTTTTCTGCTTTACATTTTACATACACACGTGTGTGTGTGTTTCATTTTTTATTACTTTTATACATATTATAATTTTTCCCTTTTTATAAAAACTTTTATTTCTTGATTTTCTTTTATATATGTTTTCTACTTTTTTTTATAAAGGCTCTGCTCTACTTCTTTAGGACTTATAAACAGTGCCACAAGAGAAAAAACACTATTTGTCTGCCTCTTGTGCAGTTATAAAAAATACTACAGAATAAATTTTTGCATGAAAAATAACAAAGGAAAGTGTCTGGTAACATGGTTACATGCAATGTGTATTCAATGCTTGTATTCTTACCTATGGAGGACTCAAATGACACTTGCAATAGGTGTAAATTGGTTAGATTACTTGAAGAAAAGGTGAAGAATTTGAAGGCAGGTAAGCCATTAAAACTCCTGACACTCCCGCACTAGACACTTTCAAGTGTGTTTATTTATCAAACTTATTTGCCACCCATCTTACGGTTTAGGCAAATTTCCATAGTGGACATGAAGAACATGATGAACTGTTAAAATCAGAAGTCTCTATCCAAACAAGAGGAAAGGCAAGGGTAGTATGTCACATAAAGAACAAAAAGATTGAGAAGGCAGCCCAGGCCTTCTCTGGAACTGCGCAGTAAATTTCATATCATTCCCCAGGAAGGAAACATATAGACAGCTGAAGAAAAGACTTTCTCAAATGTTTCAGTGATAAGTAAGATTCCAATAATAAGAAATAAAGTAGCTTAGACTTTCTCAAAGAAAAAAGGTGTGCAATGACTCAATATTTAGAAGAACAGAGTCATCTATTTGTAGACCAGACAATTTCTTAAGGGAAGTATGTTGTCTACCAGGTGCAAAGATTAAAAATGTGACAGAAATAATCAAGCCTACGGATTGCTATCTATTTCTCCTCAGTCACGTTGGAACAAATGATACAACTAAGAGCCTGAAAACAATTTCAATGAACTATGAGCAATTAGGCAGGAAAGCCAAAGAGACAGGAGTGCAGGTGGTGCTTTCATCTGTCAACAAATGAAAAGGGTCAACATCCAATGTGAGAACATAGTAGAAGTAAAGAATGGTACCATCTATATTATGGATTACTCACTATGTACAGGAAGGGCTTCTTGCAAGAGATAGACTGCACCTCACAAAGACCAGCAAGTAAGTGGTCTGGCTTTGCACCTGTCTGGGAAACATCTGGCTCAGACCATCTGAAGGGCTTTAAACTAAAACTGGAGGAAGGAGATTAGTTCACAGGATTAAACCCACCACAGCAAACCAGAAAGGGAATGGTGAACAAAGGGCACACAAGTACTGTACAAATCAGGAGATACAGGAAGCAAAACTAGGGTCAATCATAAAAGGGTTCAAATGCCTGAATACCAGTGCCCAAAGTATGGGGAACAATCAGGGAGAGCATAAAATCCTAGTTTAACAATGTTGAGTGAGTTTCTGCTTCTTGTTCATAATTTCAAGAGTACAGGAAGCCTTTACTTAGATCAGGACTGATAGACCAGAGATTCCTATCATATCGGTACGTGCTACTTCTAGTAACCAAAACTACTGATATTTCTCAACTATAAATTACTGCTGAGAAAATTGTTGCTTTACTGTTGTTATTGAAAGGTCCTAATCTTGTCTAAATTTTTCAATCTCTGCTTCCTTATTAACAGTAATTCAGTGTAAAGAAGATCACATTTTGATAGCAGATAATCTGATGTGCTGAAAAAAAGAGGGCATCCTCAGGTTACCAACAGCACCCTCCGGATATTATCTGTAGATCTTTCAAATTACATTTTTAATTTTAAAATTACTAAAATCTAGCAGCTGAAAAGATTACCATGCCCTGCCTTAGAAGAAGAATTGCTGTTGGCAGTTTCTATCTTAAATTATACTAATAAAGTAAAATCAAGTAGAGAAGGGTTATGTTCTTGAGACAGAATTCTCAATGCTAGGCAAATTTATAATTCTTGTAGTTCCTATGAAGAAAAAAGTATGATTTAAGACACAAACAAAAGTGATCTTACCTTAGAATCAGATTCCATTTCTCACAGTTCCCTAGGTTGAATGTGTAAGCATATATATAAAATTATTTTAAAAACAACAGTTTAAGTACTCATATTTTGAAGGGGGAAAAAGTAAATCATATTAGAATAAGCAAATATATGCATTTCTTTCTGTCTGTGGGATTTTTTCCCTTTACAGAGTATTTCCATAATTACTATTTAGCTAAAATACTCAGTCTTTGGAATCTAAAGATAGAAGCATGGTATATGGGTATCTGCCAATTCAAATGTTAACAAAGAGAAATTCATTACAATCTAGTGAAATCTTGGTTGAATCCAGAGAAAGCATTAAATGAATTAAGCTTTGCCTGAGGAACAGGATAGAAAAGCAGTTTTCCCTATGTGCCTTTTCTTGTTGGTTCCTTTTGCTTGGGGAAAAAAAAATCTCTATCTGACTGGTGCAGCCTATGAGCTATGTTACAAAACTGAACAACATAGAAAGAATTAATAAAAATAAATAAATTTTGCTGATTCTGGGTTCCTACTGAAGCCCAATGTCTATAAAAGCTCTTCATAAAACTTTTCCAATTGTGAAATAACCAGCCAACATACAACCCAAAAATAGAGAATATGATCTCTTTCATCAATTTTTTCCTAGGTTAATCTGCTATACAGATTCCTTGTTCTCCAGCTGAAACAATGGATTTTGTTAAACCCGTTTTTTAAGGGAGTGACTTTGGGATGCAATACTAAATAGAAATCCCTCTCTTTTAATTTTTGCTTGCTAGAAACTGTTTGTGTGTGTGTGTGTGTGTGTGTGTGTGTGTGTGTGTGTGTGTGTGTGTGTGTGCACGTACATGCAGATGTGTATAATTTTTATTTAAATGAATAGCTTTATGACTATATTGCAGCTGAAGAGCAACTATAGTTCTAAAGAGTGATTCCAATAACATGTACAGTAGTTTAGGTATTTAAACTGATTCAAGTTATGTTTTAGTTTTAACTTTTTTTTTTCTTTCACAGGACCTTTAGCTAGGAGACTATATGAATATAGTCGAATCCCCTTCCTTCCAGTGTGTGGTGGATTTCCAGTCAAATTTCGTACTTACATTGGAGAACCCATTTTGTATAATCCAAATGTAACTGCTGAGGAATTGGCTACAAAGGTATGCTTTGTTTAGCAGTTTAAACATCTTCAATTCCTGCTAAATTGTCAACAAATATTTGTATTTTAAATTAATGAATTACATTGATTTAATGTCTCAAAGTTTTTTATAAGACTAATATAATTCAAATTATTCCTTGAAAAGTATTTTCTTTTTGTGTTTTCAAAACAGTGCAAATAAAATCTAGTAATGACCAAATTCTATTACTAAATTGTGGAAATTACACTTAGTGGCATTAACCTTAAAATGGTTCGGTGTTTACAAACAGGTAGCTTCAAATAAAACCAACCAAAATATTTTAGATGACTTTATATTCTTTGAATGGATTGGTAAGTTCTAACTATTGTGGGTTTTAAACATTATTTATTTTATTTTATTAATTTATTTTACCATTATTTTTTCAATTTCTGTAGCTGCCCATTTCATTCTTACTCTGGGTAGCTTGCAACTCAAGAAATAGATTACAGTTAAAACACTGAAACGTTTTAAAACAATAAGAAACAATAAAAACATCAAAAAATATACATAGCAGCTGAGATACTTGGCCAGTTAGCAATACAACCAGGAAACAGAGCCCTTAACACATTTAGGACCCCAGATTTATTTATAGATTAATATTATGATTTGTAGATTAATGTATCAAGCTATTGTGCCTTCAGAAATTTATAGTCTAGTTGTTTTGGCATGTGATGCCCTATAGCACTCTCCCAAGCGGAGGAGTTGAAAGAGTTTAGGTTTAGAAGATAAGGGGTCAGTAGATATATTTTCAGCCTCCTTCTGATCTGTGCAATATACATGTCTTATATGGAAGGCAGGCTGGTTGCAGTTGTTTTTTCTGCGGTCTTAACTATCTGTTGGAGTATGTACCTGTCCAGTTTAGTTGCTCTAACAAACCAGTATAGATGTACAAATGACAGACTCAATAATTCCTCTGTAAAACCGTATCAACAGCTCCTGGGACAGTCTGAACTTCCTGAGGTTGCAGGAAGAACATTCTTGGTTGTGCCTTTTTAGTGATGGTTCTAATATTAAATGCCCACTTCAAGACCTTGGATTATAGAACCACAAAATCTGAAGAACTCTACTGCTGACAATTTTCTGACAAATATAGTAAGAGGTGGTAGAATAGAAGGGCTTTATTTAAAAATAAAAAAGAATATAGAAAAGAAGAGTCATAATCTGACAGACTTTATTTAGTCTAGATCTGGGAATTGGAGTGAGAAGGGACCCCCAAATCATTTCTCAAGATATTGCTAGCCTGTATACTTTTCTATGAGAATAAAAAAATTAAACAGCAACTATATTTTTATATAATGCCTCCCTTTGCTCCGAACCTTTGGGGACACAGAACAGATTGGGTCTAGATAGTACCTGGATGTGAGAGTACCAAGGATGTAGCTTCCATAAATTTAGCATTTATTCTTCTAGTAAATCCTTATTACCAACATAATTGTGATAATGAAATGTTTTATTATTTCCTTTTTTTCTCTTTCATTTTCAGACCCAAATTGCACTCCAGTCATTAATTAGAAAGCACCAGCAAATTCCTGGAAGCATCTGTCGGGCTTTATTGGAAAGATTTCACAAAGAAAAGAAAAAGGAATAAATTTGTCAAATGTTATGATTAGGCCAAGTGAGGTAGCACACTGCTAATAATGAGTTTGATAATCATCTAGGATATCAAAATTTCTAATTTATATTATTTTCTAATTTAGTATTGTACTTTTTTGGGCAAAGAAAGGATAAAGTATTACGCGATTTTTCATTTGTAGGCAAAAAGCACTTGAATAGCTTTTCATAAGGCTTTTAAGACATGGGTGTATTTCAAGGTTGAAGTATTACTTAGAGACTTTGGTGTGCTTACAGGTGAATGATACAATACTAGTATTGTACAATACTAGTATTAGTAAGAAGTTGCATATAAGGAGATCCCAAATTCAGTTAAGGCGAGGCTACACATGTGCAATCGCGGTGGAGATTTTAGTCACTCTTCCTCTTCATATGTGTAAAATGGATAAAAGGCAGATTCTGTCAAAGAAAAACTGCAAGTGTAATTAGAATAAATATTTGCTATAATTGAATAACACGAACATAATCATAGCAATCCTAAATTAGGATGAATTTAGGGAAGAATTATTTTGTTTTTGCTTTCTATTTACTCTCACAGAGTGTTTACTCCATGATTTTATCTATATGAATTTGAATTTCAGCACCGGGCCTGGTAGCTCAGCAGACTAAAAGCATTGTGATTAACATCAGCTGTCTGCTATTACTGTAAGTTTGAATCTCACCAGGTCCAAGGTTGACTCAGCCTTCCATCCTTTCTAAGGTAGGTTAAATGAGGACCCAGTTTGTGGGGGCATTAAGCTGACTTTGTATAAATATACAAAAGTATGAAAGCTATTGCTTAACGCATTGTAAGCCGCCCTGAGTCTTCAGAGAAGGGCGGCATATAAATCAAATAAAAAATAAAAAATAATAATAAAAAAATAATACAACCATTTCATTGGATTCATTAATCACACTAATCAATATTTTTTAGACTGATTTGATTCCTTGGCTGCTGTTTATATTGTGCATTTCACTACTGTATTGTTTTTAAATATTGTAAGCCCTCCAGAATTGCTAATGTGAGATAGGCAGTTGTATAAATATTTTTTTTAAATATTAAAATTATATTGAATAAGATAGCATTTATGTTGTGCTTCACTGCAATATGTATTGGAATGGATCTGTCAATATACATTTAATGGTAAAGAATTTCACTATTGGGTTTTTGTGAAACAGGCAATGTTGAAGCAATATTTCATCAGACTTTTTAACAAAGTAAATTTTTATGGGATGTATTTTGAGTGGAAAGAAATTTTAGAAAATTTTGTTTCTATCAAACATATTCAAATTGATGATCTGTCTGGATAAGCATATAGAGAAGGCTGGTACAAGACATTGCCTGCATGCAGCCCATCAGCCATATTTATTTAATAATAAAAAAATAAATTTATCCTCACCCTCAGGAAGGATCTGCAACCATTGCCACGAAGACACACTGCTCCAACATTTCCAGGCCTTACCAATGCTGCCAGCTCAGTTGCTGCTCCACCAGCCATCAGACAATTATAGGTAGTCCTCGCCTTGCAGCAGTTCACTTAGTGACCATTTAAATTTGCAACAGCACTGAAAAAAGTAATGGATGATTGTTTTTCACACTTACCACAGTAGAAGCATCCCTATAGTCACATGATCAAAATTCAGACACTTGGGAAGTGACTCACACTTATGACCATTGCAGTGTTCCAGGGTCATGTGATTACCTTTTGCGACCTTCTGACAAGCAAAGTCAATCGGAAAACCAGATTTGCTTAACAATTGTTACTAATCTGACAACTGAAATGATTCATTTAACAACTGGGACAAGAAAGGTCATAAAATGGGGGAAAATTTACTTAACAAATGTTTTACTTAGCAACAAAAGTTTTAGGCTCAATTGTGGTCGTAAGTCGAGGACTACCTGTAATTGGCATACCAGCTATTTCTTTGCAGACAGCTAATATTTTTAATTTATTAACATGGCCTTTTTCCATCTACAACTTGCGTAGCTCTGATGTAGCGGGTTGTGCAAATAGTTTTAAGATTGAATTTCAGATGTTTTGGCTAAAAAATGAATAAAAACACTGAAATAAATAAATAATAATTATGTGGAAACCAATCTGATCTAAAGCTTCTTTCAGTGAAAACTGACATTGGGCTTTGTAAGAGAATGTATTTATGGATGCTTCTTTGGAGATCTGATGTTGGCAATTGGACTTATTATCCTTTAGTTATGTTTTTTATCTTTATATTTATGAATAAACTCAGATATTCTAAAACATAGAGTTACCGTGGCCTTTTTTCTAAATGGAACTCTTTTGGAATATGTACTGTAGCCCTCGATACGACCACAGATGGAATTTTGGTAATAAGGCAGGATAATCATTAAAACAATCAACTAGATGACTGAACTCAATTTCAAAACCATTTTATGATGGCTGTAAAGTGAGCCACTATGGTTGTTAAGCAAACCACGTGGTCCTTAAGTGAATCCAGTGCACGCAATAGGCTTTCTAGCAGAAAACAGCAAAAAAAAAAATGTGGCATAGTCGGGGGCACGTAACTATGGAACACTGCAACTAGTTGTAAATTGAGTGGGTTGCCTACACCTGAAATGTAGTCAAATGATTGTGGGGCTGCTGTGTGACATTTTACAGTGGTTAGAAGTGCTTTACAGGCCACAAAGTAACCTTTTGGAGGCCACCATAACTTCAAATGGTCATTAAGCAACCAGGTATTAACCAAGGACTACCTGTAATTTTTCCAGTTCCAGAAAAAGTAATGACTGACAATATTACCTAACCTACAAATCAGTGGTGGGTTTCAAAAATTTTTACTACCAGTTCTATGGATGTGGCTTGGTGGGCTGGCATGGCTTGGTGGGTATGGATACTGTAAAGTCTACATTTCCTCCTGATCAGCTGGGATTTGGGAGGCAGAGAATAGATGGGGGCGGGGCCAGTCAGAATTTTTACTACCGGTTCTCCGAACTACTAAAAATTTCCGCTACCGGTTCTTCAGAATTGGTCAGAACCTGCTGAAACCCACCTCTGCTACAAATCTCTCCTGAGTTCATGTATGGCAGGGCTGTCAAATAACTGGTCCTCAGGCCAGATGCATCACGCACTGGCCATGCTCACCCCCGGTTTAGCAAAGGGGGAAAAAAGTCCCAATACATCATGTGACGCTACCGTGATGACATGAGTTTGACACCCCGATGTACGGTGAATCATTTTTAACAGTGCTTGCTCTTGATTTGGGATGGATAGAAGGTACTGTAATTTGGGTTAGACAGGCTAAAATGAAAATAAATTTGGTAGTTTAGAAGTTAAAGCATAACAATGTAGGAAAACTGATCATTAGTTGATACAATTGTGGCTATTGGAAATGTTAGGATTACATCGTATCTTTATTTCATTTATATACACCCTATCTATTCAAGATATCTCACAAGGTACGTACTCTTATCAGTTTAAAAAGAAAAAAAAAGAGAATGAAATTAATTCTAAAATATGTGGCCTTTTGTCATTAACTCTGTATTTGCACTTCATGTCATTCCTTGTAATAATCAAGTTCTTCTGACAAAATAGTAGCAGTTTTGTGCTGCTGGATACTGGATGCTTGTTTATTTCTCTCCAGAATATGCAAAATTGGATAATTAAGTCTACAAACCAGTTTTCAGTTCTCTAAAACGTTCTGGATATTCTGGAGGCATGTTTAACACATTGCCATCCAGTCCTTTTCTGGATGCTATACGTTTTTGAAGACTTTGAGACATACTGAAACTCTGGCGATGCTTACAGTACTGGAAATTCTGAAGATGTAAGGGACATGGATTAAGGAAAGCTAAACTGCTATGACTGTCAGCACCTTTCTTTTTTCTTAGAGGCCAGTCTTTTCCATTATCCACTGATTTTTTAAATTGTTTTAATACAAAGATTGAAACTTTCTCTATGTTAGTATGTAACGTAACCATTTTATCACATTGTTACAGTTGTGGATGGGACAGAGTCCCAAATAATAAAGAAAGCCTTTTAGAAATCCAAATTTGATCTGCTGGGAACATTGGGAGACAAATACCATGTTGCAAGACTAAGCATTGCTAGAAGTGATGCAATCAAGTCAGAAAGGATTAACAAAGAAAATCTCAAAAAGACTTACGTAATTCCATGAGCATTAAAAAAAACTAATATTCAATAGTCTTAGAAGTCAAATAATAAAAGGAACTGCCAGACCATTAGAATAACACAAACACACAAATGCACATTCACACACCCCTCTTCCACAGACCATGCTTCTCCTTTGCATATACTCATGCACACACACACCTTTGTCCTATAATTTAGGCCCCTGGGACATTTTATAGACTACCTTTCAGGAGCCGACTTCTGTACTAGACTTTTGAAAATTAAAAGGAACTTCCTCTTTAAGCAGTCCATCTTCAGGTATTCATTTCCAGCTCAGTGACCCAGACCTCTTCGATCTTCCATCAAATAAAACAGAAGGGTAGAGCTTAATATTAAGCTACACATTTCCAAACACCAGATAAAGATGTAAATCCTCTTGTCCAACTTGAGGCTCAAAGATAAGCAGATTTATAGACATATTTCAATGATTTTTTAAAAATATATATATATTTATGCATATTTATATTCTTAACCCAAAAGTCAGTGCCCAGATAAATTACATTAAATGTTTTAATTGGCAGAGATGAAAGCTTCAAAAATTTAAACTTGGGACTTCCGGTTGGCTCCGCGAGCTTCGCTGACGCTCTTTCATGAGTGCCCGATCCCCGGCACCGTAAATGCTGCCAGAACAGCCGAAAAACAGCTGTCTGGCAGCGAAAAACCCTCTCCCCGGGCAAAGGGGAGAGAGAAGAGCCGACAGGCGGCCGTAGAGCCCCCCAAGTGCCCTAAGAGAAATCCTGGGGCGCGAAGGGTGTGGGCTTCCTATAGAAGCCTGTCAAGCTGCTCCGGACCTGGGACGATTCCGCGGAAGCGGAGCTAGAAGCCGCGACCAAATTCTGCTTATAATAAAGGAGGGGACCTCTAACATCTTTACTTTGATTGCAGACAGAGCGAATCAGGAGAAAAAAGAAAAAAAATTGCAAGTAACCCTTTAACTCCGTTTTAAAATGAGAAAATGGCGCCTGAGGGCGTGAGGAGGAAGCTACTAGGGAAAGTGCTTGTTAACACTTGTTAACGTTTGTAACATTGATACAGCTACTGGATTACACCTTAAGAGAAAGTTTTAAAGTGGAAGCGGCAAGGAAAAGAACTTGGTACTGATCTCAATTAAGGTTCATTTTTAAACTGTGTGAAAAATAGTTGGAATTGTCATCCTGATAGCTGGATAAATATAAATTGTCTGAAACATGGCTGACAATAAGGCTGGAGGATCACTGCCTGGTGAATCAGCAAATTTTCAAGCTGTGACTGTTAAAGCTTTTCAAGAACTTTTAGATTCTTTCACCTCCGCTCTTTTGAAAACAGTTGAAAGAGCTTTTCAAAAATATAGCTTGGAAAGCCATAATCATTTTGTCGAGCCCGGCGTGCTCGGCATACAACCGGGACGGGAAGGCAGAGCGGAAAGAGTAAAACATCCACAACAAAACTACAACATAGAGAGGGCACGGGAAATAAGCAGCACGGGAGATGGTGGAGGGGCATCGGTGGAGGGATTGCGTTTAGGACACGGAGGAACCCGGAATGAGGAAACCAGAAATGTCGCTACAACTCATCCCAACACAACTGAGCTACATGTTCATCAAGAGAGGGGTGGGGCACTAGGATATAAAGGGGCGAGGCGGATGCTCATAGCGCCAACTTTGAAAGTTTGTAGCTTGGTGTTGTTCCGTAACTGATGAAAAGCATTAAACCAGCATTCACTCTCCAATTGATGTGTCCAGCTGTGTTTTATTGCTGTCTCCGTGCTGTGCGGGACAAGGAGCTGAGAGAAAGTTGGCGCTCCCTTCGTTCTAGTTTCTTCCTGGAGGTGCATTTGGAGATTTGGAATGGGGAGGGAACGGACCCCGGAGCGGAGGTGTTGGTGGAGATGTTAGCAGAGACGTTGGCGGAGGGGGTGACCATCCAGCCGGCGGTCCTGGTCGAGAAACAACCCGTGGTGAGACCGAAGGAACGGGCCCCAAACCCCGGCGAGGACGAGGGAGAAACGGATGAAGCCGAGACGAAACTTATTGACGCACCTCACCCCCCCTGAGAACTGGTGGTGAAGCCCGGCAGTAGCTGGCTCAGGGAGGAAGGTTTCTACCTTTGCTTCATCGGGTGACCCTTTTCGGCGCTGGAGAGAGAGACGCTGAGTAGATGACGAGGAGGTGGGCGAGTGGAGCTACTTAACGGGACTCGGCTCTTCTACTTTGGATGTCTTAAGAGACCGTTTTGGAGAGAGTAGTTTTAGAGACGCCCCGTCGTGGCAGCTCTGGGCCGAAGAGGTGGAGTCTCGAGCTACCACTTGGCATGGGTCTGAGGCATCTGGGTCAACCCGGTTTCGTTTGACCAGCCCTAAACTAAAGTTAAAGGGTTCCGGAGATAGAGCACGAAATCCAGAACGGGCAAAACCGACGCCGGGGTGGTGGTGGAGGTAGAAACAGCTGCCGACCAGGGAGGGAGGCGTTCTCCAGCCGCGCTGTCCACCCCGGGCAATAGACGACCAACCAATATGGGCCGGGGGCCCCTGGGACAGCAGGGAATGAACCAGCCACCACCCCCCAGGTCCCCGTGGGCCCTGGATATGCAGGGGCTCCAGGACAGGGACCCTGGCAACCTCAACTGATGTGGGGTCCACCTCCCCTACAGGCAACATTTGATGGCAGTTCTGACAGGGTAGCTATTTTCTTGAGTCAAGTCCTCAGTTATTTTGATTTATATGGACAGTTCTACCCCACCCAGTGGTCCATGGTGGTCACCATCACGACAGCCTTGAAGGGAGAAGCGGTGGACTGGGTGGCAGACCTTCATAGTGACCACGCCCGAGAATTGACAGATGTAGGGTTGCTTCAGGTCTTCAGGTTTGCTTTGAAGACAATTCATGGGTGCAACAAGCTGAGGGCGAATTGGTGGCTTTACGTCAGAGAGGCCGGCCGGCTAGGGAGTACGTAAAGGAGTTCCGTGCAATTGCAGGCAGATTGAGGGCTTGGCCAGAGCGGATGCTGGTCCACCAATTTCACCTTGGTCTAGATAGAGAGATCCGACAGGCCTGTGTGTACCGCAGACTGCCACCTCGGTTGTCGGAATGGTTTAAGGCAGCTATTGACTTGGAT